GGGGGGGAGGGGTGCTCCACCTCTCCCCAACCCTTGGCATGGGCCATCCGATTGCCCCAAACGACGGTAACCCAACGTAATCCAGGTCATTGGCCTAAGAATACGGGGGGGGGGAGGGGTGCTCCACCTCTCCCCAACCCTTGGCACGGGCCATCGGATTGCCCCAAACGACGGTAACCCAACGTAATCCAGGTCATTGGCCTAAGAATACGGGGGGGGGAGGGGTGCTCCACCTCTCCCCAACCCTTGGCACGGGCCATCCGATTGCCCCAAACGACGGTAACCCAACGTAATCCAGGTCATTGGCCTAAGAATACGGGGGGGGGGAGGGGTGCTCCACCTCTCCCCAACCCTTGGCATGGGCCATCCGATTGCCCCAAACGATGGTAACCCAACGTAATCGGGGTCATTGGCCTAAGAATACAGGAGGGGAGGGGTGCTCCACCTCTCCCCAACCCTTGGCTCGGGGCATCCGGTTGCCCCAAACGACGGTAAGCCAACGTAATCCAGGTCATTGGCCTAAGAATGCCGGAGGGGAGGGGCTCCTTACCTCTCCCCAACCCCTGGCATGGTGGAACCGATTGCCCCAAACGACGGTAAGCCAACGTAATCGAGGTGGTTTTCCTAAGAATACTGCAGGGGAGGGGTGCTCTACCTCTCCCCGACCCCTGGCATGGGTCATACGGTTGCCTCAAATGACGGTAACCCAACGTAATCCGGGTCATTGGCCTAAGAATACCGGAGGGGAGGGGTGCTCTATCTTTCCCCAACCCTTGGCATGTGGGCATAGATTGCCCCAAACGACGGTAAGCCAACGTAATCCGGGTCACTGGCCTAAGAACAACGGAGGGGAGGAGTGCTCTACCTCTCCCCAACCCTTGCCACGGGGAAATCGATTGCCCCAAACGACGGTAAGCCAACGTAATCCAGGTCATTGGCCTAAGAATACTGGGCGGGAGGGGTGCTCCACCTCTCCCCAACCCCTGGCATCTGGGAATCGATTGCTCCAAACGACGGTAAGCCAGCGTAATCCGGGTGGTTGGCCTAAGAGAATCCGGGGGAAGGGGTGCTCCACCTCTCCCCGAACCTTTGCAAGGGTCACTCGGTTGCGCCAAACGACGGTAAGCCAACGTAATCCAGGTGGTTAGCCTAAGAAGGTTAGGGGGAAGTGGCTTTTCACCTCTTCTCACTAATCTTTGGGTAGGACGGTTGCTTGAAAAGTCGGTAAGCCAAGGTAATCCGAGGCCTTTCCGTAGTAATAATTCGGGGAGAGGAGAACTGGCCCTCAAACCACAAGCAAGGCGGATTACCTAGGTATGAAGTCTAAGCTTGTCATGAGGTCCTATGAGGCACCGGCCCGGGCCACGGAGGGCGGCACTCTGTGATCCGGGGGGGAGCGTCCCGTGAGACGTGCGCATGGACTCTCTTCGGAGGGTTGGTGCGCACAGGCCCCAGCGGAGGGGGCGGGGAGCTCTCCAGGTGCGGAGGATCACCTGGGAAAATGGGGAGAGGAGGAACTGGCTCTCGAACCACAAGCAAGGCGGATTACCTAGGTATGAAGTCTAAGCTTGTCATGAGATCCTATGAGGCACCGGCCCGGAACACGGAGGGTGGCACTCTGTGATCCAGGGGGGAGCATCCCGTGAGACGTGCGCATGGACTCTCTTCGGAGGGTTGGTGTGCACAGACCCCAGCGGAGGGGGCGGGGAGCTTTCCAGGTGCGGAGGATCACCTGGAAAAATGGGGAGAGGAGGAACTGGCTCTCGAACCACAAGCAAGGCGGATTATCTAGGTATGAAGTCGAGCTTGTCATGAGGTCCTATGAGGCATCGGCCCGGGCCACAGAGGGCGGCACTCTGTGATCCGGGGGGGAGCGTCCTGTGAGACGTGCGCATGGACTCTCCTCGGAGGGTTGGTGTGCACAGACCCCAGCGGAGGGGGCGGTAAGCTCTCCAGGTGCGGAGGATCGCCTGGTAAAATGGGGAGAGGAGGAACTGGCCCTCGAACCACAAGCAAGGTGGAATACCCAAGGAGGAAGGTTACTCTTTGGGTCCGCTCGGTCCCTACAAACTTCTTGACACTGGTAATATGCGGTCGGTTTCGTATCCCAATCCGCCTATGGCTAGGTGGCCCCCCCTCGTTGCGAGGCGGCGTCATTGACCCATGGGTTGGGGAGGGTAGGATTCAGGCTTATTGGAACCAGGGAAAAAGAGGAGAACCCAATCGGATCACTCCTCGCAAGGGGTCTGAACCAACTGGGTGCTCAACCACTGCCATAAAGAAGTTGATGTCGGTGCAACTTGCAAAACTCATATGCAGTGGTTGAGACGGTCGACTCTTTTTCAGGGGGAAAGCTCGAAGCTCACTTGAGGCCAAAAACCTGGAATGAGACCCATGTTGACTGTGGACGATCTCGGTCGGACGCAGGACGATGCACGGGTACCTGAACATGTTAGTAGGTCAAGGACGGTGTGTCCTAGAGTTTTCTTAACGTGGAATGACAATCGGAAGCATGGTGATGCCACGTGGGAGTTAATGCTTTCGTGGTGCATGGGAGAAATCGCCGGACTATTTCAGTTACGGTGGATGTCTCTAGCATCGTGTCTTTCCACTCACGATGAGATGGCTCGACCGCAATGTCGAGTCTGGGTTGGTAGTGCCTCTGGTTTGAGTGTCAGACTTCGGTTTGTCGCACTCGGTAGATGTAACCCAACTCGTATCTTATCGTGGCTGCAATGGGATGGCTCGGTGGCAACGCCGGGTTCTGTGCTGGTTGTTTCTCTGGTTTGAGCGTGAGGCCTCGGTCTGTAGCGCTCGGTAGAGAAACACAGCCCACTCACATCTCGTTGTGGAGGTTGAGGAAGCCCGTCTCCTTAGCCACTCGGATACGTGAAAGGCATCGCTTGCTCAAACTGGAAGCCAGTGTGTGGCATGTTAAAGTCCCGTACCCATAATCTAATAAACGAGCACCACACAAAAAAGGGGAAGGCGCTAAGAGTATGGAAAAAGGGTTGATGTTGCCCTTGGTCATGCCCCTAAAAGACAAGATGGAGCCCAAGTCGGGTACCCTGGGCCTAGCTGGCGGATACTGGGACACTGGTGGAACGGAGTAAAGCAAGCGTTGTCGAGTACCATATCTGAGCCCGATACGTAAGAGGGGCATACCGAACTGAGCCAAACGGCCACTGGGGCCCGAATCCCGGCTATCCAGCTTTATGCGGAGGTGGTTGAATCGGTGCAAGGCAACCAGCCGAAGTAACGAAGGGAGGTATGTCCCACTTGCTGTACGGCCTTGAGAAGGATGTGCTTGCGTCCTAGGTGGCATAAAAACCACCTAGGCACTAGCACGGAGCTCTCTTGGAATTGTCAAGAAATGAGACTGTGATGGGATCGGGTTGGCTTGTCCCGACGATCAGTGTGATGACTCTTCTTGGACGGGCTTGCCCAACCTCGGAGCATCTTGAGGAGCAATGCTGTTTGCTGACGCGTGAGGGGCCACTTCTTAAGCAAACCTACCAGTGCGGTAGGCGATCGGTTCGGTGCATCCTACTTCCTGTATAGTAGGCGGCGGGCACAAACCGGTCAGCGGCAGTGGTCAGAGCCGAGATGGGGAATTGGACCTATAGAGGATGCCCCTCTGGCCCATGAAACCCGGCTTATTACGACAGTGGGTCGATTGGGAAAGGAGCTCGAAAGTCCACCACGGTGTTCGGTGGCGCTCTGGAACCAGCCGATACGCACGTGTCAGACACGGCAATCAACGCAAGGCGATTGCCAAGTCAGCTTGCTCGGATGGATGTTTCGGTGGTCAAGCTTGGCCGGACAAGGGGACGAGCGCTGTGAAGGCGGGGCATGCTGGGGCCCGAATGCCGGATATTTGGGTATGAAGTCGAGCTTGTCATGAGGTCCTATGAGGCACCGGCCCGGGCCACGGAGGGCGGCACTCTGTGATCCGGGGGGGAGCGTCCCGTGAGACGTGCGCATGGACTCTCTTCTGAGGGTTGGTGCGCACAGGCCCCAGCGGAGGGGGCGGGGAGCTCTCCAGGTGCGGAGGATCACCTGGGAAAATGGGGAGAGGAGGAACTGGCTCTCGAACCACAAGCAAGGCGGATTACCTAGGTATGAAGTCGAGCTTGTCATGAGGTCCTATGAGGCACCGGCCCGGGCCACGGAGGGCGGCACTCTGTGATCCGGGGGGGAGCGTCCCGTGAGACGTGCGCATGGACTCTCTTCGGAGGGTTGGTGCGCACAGGCCCCAGCGGAGGGGGCGGGGAGCTCTCCAGGTGCGGAGGATCACCTGGTAAAATGAAGGGAGATGGCACGGTGGGGGAGATGCCCTGGCCAAAACGAAAAAGGTGGCGAGAAAGGCAGGGCCGGCTCTGGCTAAGATTCAATGCAGAGCACCGATCATTCGAGGAGTCGAAAGGGCAACGGGAAACCGTTGCAGGTTGGCCAGTTCAGCTACCCCGCGCCCTCCTTGGAGGGCGATGGGTAGATGGCGTGCCTCCTGGGCTGGAGGCGAACCAGGTCGACGAAGGAACAGCGAGGCCTCGTTTCTAACGGGGCTGAGCGTGGACCTCGGCCTGGAGGGAGGGATGGAGCACACCCGGCTGGTGCGGGTGTCGTTGTCATCCCGCCGCGGGCAGGCCGCCGCGGCACGTGGAACGATTGGGGGGATGGCTTGCACACTTGGGGCCAACCCATCACACCCGGCTTGGGGAACCCGGGAGTGAGGCCCGGAGCCTTTGCCAGAGGCTCTGGGCCGAAAATGGGAAGAAATGACGGCAGGCGAGCGAGGGAAGGACAGGCGGGTTGCACCGCAGGTCGTTTCCGAGCTCAGCTTGCCCCAGGCGTCGCGAACGCGGGCGAGCCTCGAGCTCGCGGGGTCGGGTGGGGCCTGCCAGCCTCATCCGGCACCGCGGACTCGGGTGCTCTTTCGTGGACCGGCGTGCGGAGGTGTCGGCGAACCGGGGAATCCGTGTTGCGCATACCATACGTCGGGCTGGACCCCGATGCCTTGCGAGTCGGGTGATTCCGACCGGGGCGGAGGGAGAAGGGGCCGACGGTGCGCACGCCTCGCTGAGCGGGCTGCTCTCAGTTCCCGGGTGATTCCGGCGAGACAGCCCGTGCGAGAAAGGGGAATGGGCAGACGTCCCAGGAGGCGCGAGCTTCC